GAAAAAGAAAGAGTGAAAGAGAGAAGTGGGAAAGCAGGAAAAAAGAAGGAAAGAAAGGGGGGAAAGGGGATTTAAATTTAAAAATTTAAATTTTTTTAAAAAAAGGAAAGAGGAGGAAGGGGAGAGGAGAAAGAAAGGACGCAAGAAAGAGAAAGAAAAGGGAGAAAGAAACGAAAGAAACGAAAGAAAGGAAAAAAAGAAAAATAAATGGAGAAAGAAAAGACCAGGAAAGCGGCGGAGGGAAGGGCAGAGGCGGCTGGAAGGGCAGGGACCCCGCGGGCCGGGCCGGAGCCGTGTCCCGGTGTCCCCGGGCGCCGCGACAGCGACCGCTGCCCCCGGCGGAGCCACCGGAGAGGGGCGAGGGGTTGGTACCGGGAGATAAAACTAATGGGGGGTCCCCGGGGCATGGCGGGGGGGGCAGAGAGGGAGGGAAAGGAAAGGAAAGGAAAGGAAAGGAAAGGAAAGGAAAGGAAAGGAAAGGAAAGGAAAGGAAAGGAAAGGAAAGGAAAGGAAAGGAAAGGAAAGGGGGACAGAACAGACAGAGAAAGTAAAAGGACAATAAGAAAGAGAGAAAGTAAAGGAGAGAAAGGTAAGAAAGAGAAAGGAAAAAGATGAGACAGTTGGGAAAAGAAACAGAGGAAAGAAAGAAAGAGAGAGAGAAAGAGAGAAAAAGAAAGAGAGAAAGAGAGAGAGAAAGAGAGAAAGAAAGAGAACTAGAGAGCGAGCGGGGAAGGGAGAAGTGATCGAACGGAACAGACTCGGCTGCGCAGCCGGGATCCCCGCGATCTTTCCCTCCGCTCCCGGGAAGGAGAATCCCCAACTCCCGGCTCCGGGAGCCCCGCGATGCCCGGCCGGGACCCCACTGCGATCGTGGCGGAGCTGCGCGGGGCTGCCCCGGTCCCATCGCCCGGGAACCGACACCAGCACCGACAGACACCGGCACCGGGGCGGCCGCACGCCGGCTCCGGGGCTGCGGGAGGGGACCGGGTGTGCAATACACCGGGTGTGTAAATAATACACCGGGTGTGCGCATACACCCAGTGTACAATACACCGAGTGTGTAAATAATACACCGGGTGAGTAAATACACCGGCACCGGGTGTGCAAAGGTACTCAGCACCGGTGTGTAAATGCACTGAACACCGGTTGTGC